TGGCTCGATGAATCAGGGCCAGTATAGCCCTCAGCTCGTGCTTGAGCAGCGTCTCAAGCTTAATCAGTTGCAGCAATTGCAGTTGCAGAATCAGATCCTTCAGCAGCAAGTAAGTCCGATCCTACGCACTTCTCTAGTACGTTCACCTTGCGTCAACTCCATCGCCAATACCTGTAGCTCGAATTTTTGAATGGCCAAGGCACCACATCTCCCATTGAGGGCTCAAGCGAGCGTCAGAAACCTCAAAACCCCTACCTTGGTCTTCCCACACCTAGTGAGCGCGGTCTTTGGCCCACCTCATGGAAATGTGAAACTGATATGTCTCAGTCAACTCCGCCGAGTTGCACGCCCAATCTAGTCCAAATCCAGACTACATCTCCCCCATCACCCTCGGTTATGTCGACGATACCTCGCACTATAGAAGCAACAATCAGCCACAGCTCCCTCCAGATATGCACCTCCCCCCTCATCATATGCCAGCCTCGCATGACGCTCGCTCCGCGCCGGCCAACATTGTCTTCGATACAACGCCCCCAATGCCCCTACCATCTCCAGGAGATTTGGACTTTGATCTTTCGCCTTTAAGTCCCTGGATGGACGCATATAAACCCGATACTTCTCAGCAATCCCGCCGTAGTAAGCGCACTGCGTCACCACCAGAGGATGAGCGGGCAAAAGTGGCACGACAACGTCCGTCACCCACACCACGGGTGCCATCCACCCCGAACTCCACAAAGCGCGCACGGCGCGGCACAAAATCCGCATCTTCGACTCCGCTTCTGCGCTCGTCACGCGCAGGGGGACAGAAGAATGGTTCCATCGATATACCCGGGGACACACCGTCACCAGTAGACTTGTCGATGCCGCCACCTGGACGACCAGTATCTCAGCCCGAGATCAACGCATCATCTTCCTCCGTAAATGTGCCCTGCGCGAACTCATCGTCTGCAAGTGCTACTCACAATATAACGCCCGTTACTCCTGCGAGCATCATGAATCTTGGAGGACTTGGCATGAACAGTGGTCTTGCACCCCCGACTGCGGTCAAAAGTGACGGCAGGGGTAAATCCGTTGGCCGTGGGAAAGACGCTTCCCATTCAGGTCCTACTACCAAAAAAGGCAGCGGGGTCACTCTTGTCAGCCCAAGCCTAAAACCTATATTGCCTGGTAATTTGTGCTTTACTACTCCCTCCTGCGGAGTGCTGATTTTTCTCGGTGTAGCTGGAAATATGTATTCTAATTCCCTCACCTCGTCGTCCCTACCATCGCCTGTCCTTCGTAAGACGTCGCATAAGGCCGCGGAGCAGAAACGCCGTGACTCACTGAAGACAACGTTCGACGATCTGCGTATATTACTTCCTCCTATTCCATTGCCGAGCGAAGAAGGCTATCCAGATGAGCCAATCCTACCGGGGGCCATGCCTCCCCGCGGGCCACCTAGAGGCAACACAGATGGACCAAATCGGGGCATCAGCAAGTTACAACTTCTGCGCTGTGGCAATGACTACATCCGCCTGCTCAAAGAAAAGGTCGAAAAACGTGACAACGAGATGGCATTGCTCCGTTCTGAGGTGCGACGCTTGCGTAGTTTTATCAGCGAAGACATCTGGCAAGAGGGTGGGGAAGGTATTGATCTAGAACGCGACGTTGATTTTGGCGAGCTTGGACCCTGGCGTCGGAGTATGAACACCTATGACGCCGACGATGGGGAAGAGGATGCAGCGGAGTAACATTACTGATTTCTTACTTACAGTGACATGTCCGAGCGCTAGTCGCGGTTTGCGTGGGGGAGGGGACATGCCTTTCCCTGCGTTGTAACAATTAGGTATATTCGAAGTTCACACTAGCGAAGCAAAGAATTTTTTGTTTGTAACGTCGTGACCACGTATTGTTCAAACTCGCACGGTTTCTTGATTAATCCCCCCTGTGGGATTCCGACGGACGGACCTATTGACCTGCCCCGTCATCTGCTTCTGAGGCCTGAGGGGCACTAACTCTCGGTTATGTTCCGTTTCTTCCCGTTCTCTGTTTTGTTCTTTTAACACCGGCCTGATGAGACCTTTTCCAGTCGTTGAGCTCGATTGTTGCTTCGCCCCTTCTTCCCAAGATATTATAACACGCAAAACTAGGCTTGGGCATAAGGATCGGGTACCTTTTTTGCTGGTCCTCGGTTCGGAGCGCCCAGATACCTTGGTCTTGTTCTGGAACTAGGCTTCGCTAAAACTCTCAGCCTATGATCGCAGGTTTATTATAGTCGATGCGCTGTGGCTAAGATATCTACCAGTGGGGATGTCTATATGCTCTGATCGGCCGGCCGAAGCAATAATAAACGTCCCCAATGTCTCGGGCGACTATCCTACGTCACGAACGTATCCCCAAGGATCTTACGCTTGTGGTCCCTGCGCTGCTCGGTATAGTACTGCACCCATTCAGGCTGTCTAGGGTAGAGAGGCGGCGAGGTCGTTCGTGCCTTTCTTGGTCATTGCGACCCGTGATTCGCTCGATTACATTCTGTGCGCCCCCCTTCGACTCGGACCCTAATACACATGTCGGATGTGGACCAACACCCGTCATATTTACCATGTCTATTTTCAATTGCTTCTTGCGGAGTGTCGCTATTGGTCCGATCGTGGCATTCACGGAGCAAATACCGGGCGGTGACACCGCACGAAGCTGTTTTTTTAATTTTGTTAATTTATTTTCCTGAGGACCGCAAAGTACTTTCAGCCAAGGCAGCACACCACCACACCACCACCAGTCATTTAACCGGAGCTACAGGTCTTATATGCCCGAGGGTCACGACTGTCCTTGGGGGTGAGGCAGGTGAGTGGGCGCACATAAGCACGTGAGAGGTGAGGGACGTTCTTTTCCGCCGGGTCATCCCTTCTCCCGTTATACATGTGAGCAAAGTGCACGGAGGGCTCACGCACATCTGTCGGCACTGCGCTCAACATATCGCTAGCTACAAGAAGGTCAGGACGAACGACCGACCCAATTTCCTCTTACCCCCAGCTCCGCGGCTTTACTAGTACGCGCCTCCTTCTTTGTTCGCTGGGTGCCAGTGCACCTGTACCCAAAGCCCGAAGCCCGAAGCTGCAATCCACGAAGAGGTGAGCCATCATCAATACGCCCGGGGATGAACGTGAGAAGGGCGTCATGTATGACGCCAACGCCGCATTACATCGCGGTACGTTTTGCTTGCTCCGTGATAAAAATAGGTCGTGAAAGGGAAAGAAATTCAGAAGCGTTGGAAGAACCGGAGACTTCTTAATTATTAATAAACGCGCCGGGATAAGGCCCTTTTGGCGTCATGTGGACCAGCATATCCTACGAGGCCGAAAGGCGGCATAAGTACGTATCCACAGGTAATCTGCCTGTTGATTACGCAGAATATTGCAAACTCGCGAGACAAGGGCAGAGAGAGAGACCTTGTGAGCACTCGGGGGTATGCTGCTCGTGTGATTGCGGCATTTATGTACTGCGAAGTGACGTGCTTCGACAGAGGCAGAAGCCCGATCCTGCTCTCGATGAAGGGGAGGATCGGTGTAGGAACCAGTGGCAGCACGGCTTTTTGGTAAATTGTCGATCAAGAGATCCAGAGAGAGGTCGACCTTCCTTCCCTCTCGCCGGCGGAGAACCGAGAACGACCGTAGTTGCCGCCGAAGAGGGAAAAAAAGACAGCCACTGCTCTGTTATGACTCGCCCCAAGCCCGGTTTTGATTGGAATGGAATCATCTTTGTCAGAGACCGACGATAACACATCTTTAGGATGACGATCGGATCTCACCCCTCTGGCAGAACCCATGAGAGAATGCAGATCTCAGATCCGGGTTTCCCCTTTTGGGAGGGGGTGCCGTTCCTGGTCCCGTGGTCAATTGTGTAAATAATTTTTTTCCCCTTCCCCTCCATCCATCGACGTATCACCGACAACGAACGATGTCTCAGCCGGCGCGGAGTCCTCTGTACGTTTGCCTTTCAGCTGTCGTGGGCGTCCGCCGCACTAGCTCACCACGTCTAACACGTCAGCTCCAATGTGTTCTTACTCCACATCGCCTTGGAGGTGCCACTGGCCGTCCAAGGCGTCTGGGCACCCGCGTCCCTTCCTTTCCTCCAACTGAACAACACAACGCTCGTCATGCTGAAGGTGTGTGTGTAACTTCCCGGGTGTAAGGGGCGCTTGCTTAAACACGCGCGGTTGGGAAGATGTACGCGACTTTGGTGCTGGGCGTCTGCATTGCTGCACTGCTTTGCTATCCTCTCCCAGGTGAGTTGTCGTCGCCTTTGCGTATACGTGGCACACGCAAGCGGCTAAATGCAAATATACCAGAGTTCCTTCCCGGAAAGCGAGCCCTTGCCATTGGTCTCTGCGTGTATCACACCATCGTATCAACCGTGCTCTTTCAAGCTCCGCGTTTCATCCCGTTCTCCTTCGGTGCATTTTTTGAGGCGTCAGTTTAGCTCCCTTGTGCTGGCATACGTACATACACTTGAGCTGATCCCGCTCTGCGGCACCTAGGTACAAGGTCACCCCAGAAATCGTTTGGGGCTGTATGCATGGATTCCTGGGTCTCGGTTTCATCGCCTGGTGGCAGGGAACTGTGGCCTACGCGCAGATGATGAAGAGGATGCAATAGGTCTGCTAGAACCTATCCTACAGCCGACTATTATCTCTTTAAACCGGAGACCGATATGTGGGACAACGGGCGACTTGTGATATGCGATCCCGAGGAAATGTGGATCTCCGTCGGCGTTGAAATTGCGGGTGAGGAGAAGCGTTGGCGCGCCAGTTTTCCGAGGGCTTCGAAACCTTCGGAGCTCCTAGTGTTCACTGACAATGTATTAACGCGTCAGTGGCGGGACATAAATTAACAGAGAATGAGAACTTCATTGACCGAAACAGGGACGAGCTGGTTGTATGATGGTATACAATGGGTGTGATCATCGCCTGCCTAAAGATAAAGTAGGGTTATATCATTTGCAAGTATCAATCCATCACTCATTCCCGTTTAGCTCAGTTGGTAGAGCGCGTCACTAGTAACCTGCTTATGTAATGACGAGGTCAGTCGTTCAAGTCGGCTAATGGGAATCCTTTTTTGTGGTGAGCGGAGCGCCTTCGAGGGTAAAGAGGAGCAAAGGGGCATTATTATCCTTTTGATCTGATCTCCGACCAGTACACCGCCGAAATCTCGAGCTTTGCTCTTCTTAGGCATCACAAAGAATTATGGGACGGACACATGACCACCCAGGGCCCAAAAGGGCGCTCATGGCGGTGCGGCAAACGGATCTCTCCACGGCCAAGGGTCTGAGTCATAGGAAGTGCCGCCCGTTGGCCTCAGTCTCTAGTGGCGGCGCTTCTGGCCCTTCTCTGGCCATCTCTGGATGCGTGTGGAGACTAGAAGCCACCCCACCCCACATATTATCTAATGATGGCTGTCGAGTCGTTCAGCTGTGCGTGGCGATTATCTAACTGCGGCACAGCAAAATTGGCACAGCTATGTACCATAGCCGCTGCGGTGACGATGATCGGTGATCACTACGAAAAGCATAGGAATGGCGGTCCGATCCTTTGCTGGCTACCGCCAAAGCAAACGCTTTTTTGATGGGGTCACACTCACACAGACAGCGCTGGTTGCCAACTCTGGCGCGCAGTGTGTGTGACAGTTGTTGGTTTACAGCCATCAGGCTACCTTATCGAGTCGTTTCACAATGGGGCTTCTAGCCTCGAGGCTGGAACCAGGTAGAATAACCCAGAAGCGAGTACCCAAAGATGGTTACAGTCTATTATCCCCGGACCTTATTCTTCTTCACACAATTGAGCGTTTCTCCTGCCAATCAAAAAATTGCTCAATTACTACGCATCCCCAATGAGAATATCTGAAAGCTTCATGGAAATCCGAGTAAGTGGAATAAAATTAATTGTGGCCGAGGTGCCGGCAGAGGAGGGGCTGCTCGTCTGTGTGCGCAGCTACCAGTTGGCTCTAGCACCGCGCACCTGCGGGCAGTGCGCAGGACTCGGAACCGCTTCGAGTCCTTAGTCACAGTTCATCCGGGTCCATTTTTGGGAGCGAGTCCGAAATCAGTCAGTCTGACGACCGGCATATCCTCGACAGGCGCGGTTGTAACAGGATTATCAGCTGATATGAGTTTAACACTCAATCAGCAATATCTGCTCTAGAACCCAGTTTGTAGGGGAACGATGAGGTGATGATGAAATATCATGAGGTTCTGACAGTAGAGTCAGCCAGTGAGTAAAGTTGATGTGGCTAGCAAGAGCAAATTCGGGACAGCCACGCCCAGAGCCAAAGAGGCATCATCTTATTGATATCCCAGAGGCTACAGACAAAAGAAGGTAAGAGTAGAGTGTCAGCGGCGGCAACCCAGACAACAACTCAGACAAGGATTATGATTAAAACGCTCAGCGCTCATCGCTTGACTAACATCTTGATATAGTCATTTCCTTATCATCTCCTTATCAGTATCGATATGCAACATGTGCTCAAAAACTGCCCTTACAACCCTGCCCATATATCGCATTTTTGTAATTGTCTTGTCCTTTGACCCTTTGCCCCCAATGTCTTGCATTGACACCTCCGATGTATTATTTACCGTCACGTAATTTTGAGGTGCAATTTAAAAAAGAACAGATTTGTGGTCTAATTTAGAATTTGGCTGTGCGGCCTGTGCCTGTAAAGCGGGCTGGGACGGTAAAAGACGGTGGTGGCACTGGCAGTAACTCGAAGGGGATGTGCCCCTGTCCAGGCTGTCGGGCCAGAGAAGATCTAGGGCTGCGCACAGTAGGGGGACAATTGTGTTGTGTCTCCACAGCAACGGGAGAGAAATGGACCGGACGGGCGGGACATGGGGCGGCATGAATTGTGGAGAGGGAAGCAACCTCAGATTGCGCCCAGTGGCACGTCGCCGCGTATAAGCCAAAGAAAGAAATGACTGGTCGAAAATAAAAAATAAAATAAAATAAAAGGGGCCGATAAGATCTTATGGACGAAGACCCCTGAAAACGGGGTTGGAATGGAGCCATATCTGACGTTATCCGGTGGGAAATGGTAAACAAAACCACGTGCCTTCTTGTGGGTTATTATTTACGTTTCGCCGAGTATAACAGCAGCCGGCGTTCAGTCGCCTGTTTATTAGGCCACCACGCTCACCCGCTCCTCCCAACAACTGGGGTATACAAGCCCTCCACTCTGACTCTCTTCTCGATACCATGGCCGTTATGCTCCCTCCACTTCCCTCCACCATTCCACCCCATAAACGTCGTCGTCGCACCGCTACTTCCGTGTTGGCGGGTGATTTTGACCCTCGACCGACCAGGGACGTGCTCACAAGCCTTCTCAATGGCGTCCCCCGCTATACCGCTGTAGAGTCAACGGACGACTTCAAGCGAGAAAGGCGGAGGGAGAAGAAGGCTCGCGAAAGCGTCAAGAAAAGGGCCAAATCGGCCCAGGATGCCCCCGTAAATGGTGAATCGGGCGCCCACCACGATACTATTCCCTCCATCGCCGATACCACCTTACATCCCAAAGATTTCCTTTTCAATACATCCTCTTCCTCTGCCTGGGGTTCCCGGCCGGTGTTGTGCCTTGCCACCACGCAGCGTTCTGTCTCGGTCACGCCGCCACCTATGCCCTCTTCCCCTCCTACGACCCCCGGTCGCTCAATCTCGTCCAGCACATCCCAGACGTCATCCAAGCGACCGCACACTCCTGGAGATGACTCTGATCTGGATGAGTCAGATACCATCGCCGAAGTAGCGCCGCTACGTCGACATCGCAAGAAGCGTCCCGCAGCACGTAAGGGCTGGAAAGGTTGGGTGGAGGGGTCGCCGCCCCCATCTGAAAAGCTGATCAAGCTTGATGATGTACAAGTGTTGGAGGAGCGGCGGACTCGGAGTGGGAAGAGTTTCGATGCGATCGGGCTCGGAAAAGATTCGTGGGTCTAGGTGGTGCGGTGAGTGCTCCTGACTCCGAGTTGACCGGCCTGACCTGACTCATCGGATTCACAGCGTACAAATAACGAGAGGCACAGCGGCACAGTGCCACGTGCTATGGTGTGTGCATCTGCCCGCAACGTTATTTATTCCTTCATCTGCACATTCCTGGTTTCCCCTACACATTCCTGGATTCAACTCTCTCCTGCTCTGGTTTGTTTTGGTGTATATCCCCTCATTCCCATTCTGTTATGCTGGCTTTGCGCGCGATCTTTCACACATCGGTACCATCCTCATGTATTTCATACGCCTCGGGTCTATTTTCTGCAGCCAATATCCTCTTGCCTCTGCCGTGAAGACATCATTTTTAATGTTTTCCTTGTATTTGTCCTTGAAAGTAGATTATCGCCTCAACCACAGACCTTTTGATCTGAAGAATTGATATAGACGATTGTTACTGGATTAATAAAAGCGGAGGACAGACGGGAAGGATCCGGATCAGGCTAGCAGGAAGAGAGGTCACCTGCATGCCGTCAGCAGAGAATAGCGTCGGGGACAATGCGTCGCCAAACTCTCGTCGACCCTGGCACTCTTCCCACGATCGATGTCGCCATATTTGGTCGTCCCACCAGCCCGGCGCGGTCGGCCGTGTGAGCCCAGGCGTCAACGTGGCAGAGGGCATCTTTCCCTTCCACTTCTCAGCAACAAAATGTACGTCAAACTAGTTCGCTTGTCTGTTTCCTTTTGGCATCTCTACAGCGCTTTGCACCGATCGGACGTTCTCCTCTTTCGTTCACTCCCCCCGCCGGCGCCCGCATGCACGATCACAACCGCCTAAACTGATGCAGAAACTGATGCTATGTGCCCATCTAGACCCTCCACTTTAACCGACGTTGCCACGATGATGTCGCATTTTCTGCACCCACCATTGCCACCGCCTCAGTCGTGGTATCCTGGACATATGACGCAATTTTCTCGCATGCTTCCCACCTTGCTTACTCGCACGGATGTCGTTCTCGAGCTGCGGGACGCGCGACTCCCACTCACAAGCGTCAATAGAAACTTTGAAGGTAAGTGATTGCGTCACGAAGTCGTGGTAAAGAACCCCCCCCCTCCTCCCCCACCCACGCCGACGATAACGGTGTGTTTGGGGATGAGGGGGGGGGGGCACGTGTTGTTCATTTTCCATTTTCGTTGTCTGTATGTCTGGGGTCGCTCTTACGCACATTATGCAAAACGGTGGGCGTGCTGCACATGTGGTTGATCAGAACGCCCTGATTCTTCTCTGCTCGGACGGAGATTCGATTGCCTGAGGTTCAAGTTCCCCAGCACCATTTGCCTTCTCTGGCGTTTAACCCCGCGCGATCATGTCCAGCAGGCGTGGCATGAGGCGCCCATGATTTTCGCGCCTAACCCTCGCGTACTACTTGCGTTTCGGGACCTGATTCTTGTGGAGCTCATCGCTAATATGATCAATGCGCCCAGGAGCGTTGAACCGATGGCGCTCAGAGCGGGTGCAGCTCTCCAAACACGCCGCCGCTTCTTCACCGCTCGCCAGTGCACGTGTTTGCGAGCGTATCGTAGTGTTTAACAAGTGTGACCTCGTCCCGGAATGGGGTATCAAGGTATGAATCCTATTTATCGACCTGCTCTTCGTCGCGAACCGCTCATTGCGTCGCACTTGTGAGAACAGCCCTTTCAAAAGGCTATGGCCGAAAAATTTACTGATCAGCGGACAATTTTTGTATCGTGGAAAAGGCCAAAGGATCTCAAAATACTTAGCGGCCTTCTTGTGAGTGCGTTGGCTTGCTCTCCTGCTTGATTAATGAGCCGCTCATATGTCCGACATGAAAAGATATCGCTCGGCAACACCCACATATACCTGAGCTGAATGTACTTGTCGTTGGCATGCCTAATGTCGGCAAGTCCACACTGTTAAATACTTTAAGGGACGTTGGTATCCCCCGCCGTACGTTTTGTCTAATATTTTTCATCTATCATGTATTTACAACTGGTGCGTATATGCCCAGCAACGCCCAAGGCTCTTCGCACATCCGCACAGCCAGGGCTGACAAGAGCACTTTCCACACGGCTGAAACTATCGGAAGACCCACTTGTGTATTCTTTTGACACTCCGGGAG